AAAGGGCGCAAGCTCGTTTTGACATTTATTGAAGTTTTGGAAGAAGAAAGCATGATTATAAGCATCTATCACCATTTGAGAGTGTGGGTGTGGGTGTCATTCTTGTTATCTCCCACTCCCACACCCACACCCAACCTCTTAGAATCAGTTTTCCATGGTTTCTGAAATAATGATTCGAGCACTTGATGATTTCTTATTAGCGTTTGGTATTATGCCTAAGGATGTGACCGACTCTGAAATATTAGCTTTAGAGTACAAAATAGAAATCGAGAGCATAAGATGTGGATGTGCGCGTAGGTGTAGGTCTTTGCATCACCCACGCCCATCCATCAAGCCCTCACGACAACGGTAGTTTTTATCAAGAAAGAATCCAGGAACAGCTGCTATGCATACTGTAATAGAAAGAAACAGCTGTCATTTCTAATCAACGCTGTGATGATTAACTAATAGTAGAAAACTTCTTCTTTGTTGTATTGTTTTATTCATAACTACGGATATCGTGGCGAATACTAATCCTCAACCAGGTAAGAGTTTCTGCTTCGAATTGCTTCAAATCTATCGTTCTTTCCTGCTTAAGTCGCTCTATAATAACACTTGCGTTCGGTCAACCAGAAAATGACCATGCCGTTGCTCTACTCCTTTGGCCGTGATCGAATTATCATTGGTTTAGAAAATTTTTATGCGCTCCGAGAAAGGAAAAGCAATTATTCAGTTTGTAATTTTCGTTTTCGCAGGATGGCAGTGGCTATGGGTCTCACAAACCAGGAGGTAAGAAAAACGAGAAGCCAATTGCCATGGAAGCAACAATTGAACTTTTTTGTTACTCGTTTTTTCTGTCTGTCTAGGTGCAGCTGTGATAAATAAGGACAATACGAACTCGTTCATTTTTGATACATCACAAGCCGATCTTTCACCATAGAATGTATTCTGCGGCTATTTTTTTGCGCAACCACCCTAAGTTGATATTCGCTAATTTCTTCATGGGTTTTCTACTTGCTATATTGTTCTTTGATTTTCTTATAGTCGAGAAACAAAGGTGCTGTAGTCACATATGCAAGTTGCTTTATACCTTTTCAAGGTGAACTTGTTTCTGTTGAGTCACGAAGATAAGACAAAAAATGTGTGCAGATAAAAACAAGTAGAAAATGATAAAATCAATCTTCATTTTGCTTGAGAATTCGAAAAGACATTGCAGTAATTATCAACATATTACAATGGTTCGAGTCATTTTGTCCCTTATACCTTCCATATTATTGACCCATATTTTTTGTCGTGATCTTCCTCTACTTCAAATGTTTTCCGTCTTTACTATTTCAACATATTGGATGTTATTGATTCGTCTCATCCATTCAACCGTTCTTTCACCGAATGAATTTCCGATATTCCGTTCGTTTGCTCTTAAATGCCGATGGGTTTTCTTCCCGATAGTATCTTGTGAATCAATAGCAAAGCAATGGCCTATTATCTTTGATTTTGTTTCTGCTAGCGTGAAATTGGCTTTAAATCACGGGATACATCGATGGTAACTGACATGTGAACCGAGTGATAGTTATCCAAGAATGACCATGTTTTACATATCGATTTTAACTGCTTCGTATGCTGTCGATGTTCAAATTGCTCTTATTCGATTAGCCACTCGAGACCATTACACGCTTCAATCGTTCAATCGTTTTTCATTGTTATCTCAATCGTTGCGCGAATATTAAGGTAGACGACACAATCAAATCGCTGAAAGAGTTTTAAAGGAATCTATTTTTCAACCTCTAAATTCATTTATCTCTTCTCGAATGATCGTTTCCTTAATAACTTTTGTGGTCAGCAGTCTTCTTCATACTCACATTGCTCTTGTCGCTTTCAATGATGCTTCGTCAGTCTTGTCCACATTTGCCTTTTTTCTTCTGCATGGTATTGCCTGTTGCATAGAAACGCGTCTGCAAATTCGATTACCCAAACTTCTCGGTTGGTTGATAACACACATATTTCTTCTTCTCACAGCACCACTATGTATTGGACCATTCACACAAAATGGCCCTGCATTTTTTGCCGTGAATGAGAATTGTTTTATGATAACCAATGGATTTTAACGCTACTTATACCCAAGACTTGTCCGAAGTGAAACACGATGTCTATGTATTCACGAAGAGCAACACTCAATAAATAAGGAAAAAGAACCAATTGCTTGGCTTTCGGATGCAGAACGAGATCATTTGCGGTGACATACAGTAATTAAGTTCACGAAGGGTGTGGGTGTGAGTGTGGTTGCGAGTTTCTAACTGTTATCATCCACACCCACACCACTCAACCAACTTCGAACAACATATTCTTCAAGTACTGAGGTGTTGTGGTTCTCATACACACTAGAAAGACCATACTTGTCCCGTTCTACAGTCTATGGAAGATGAAAGTGTCGAGATAAGATAAGATGGGTGGCAATGGAGGATGTGTAAAGAAATCGTCACCCTCACATGGTTAATGTATCTTGTGATAAGCTTTATCAGTTTACTTTCGTATTTATTTGAGAATAGCTATGATTTGTATGAAGGGTTTCAGTAATTCAGTGAGAAAATTTCACATAAAACTAAATAATATTAGTTGCTGTGTCAACCGGAGGAAAGATGCTGAATATTTTAAAACACTCGTTTTTAGTGTACGATAGTCGATAATTACGATAGGAAATATTTTCCTTTTTTTTATTCAACGTCAATAAAAATTTGGTCTAGAAAAGTGCACTCGACGTGTAAACTCGAAATTTCAAGACGCATTCAATTAGTTGAGTACTGAAAATCATAAAACATGAACAATAAATTATTGGTAACATATAGAGAGACGAAAGTTAAACCAGAAATTTCGAATTTACGAAGTTTCAACTACACTTTTCTTGATCGAAAACTTTGTTATTTTGGATAATATTTATTGAAGTTCGTCACGAATTCTTTCAAGTATTATTTGTCTATTATTTAATTCTGAATCATTGGAAGGCGACATATCAATGGATTGTTGTATATGATCCATCGCTTCAGTGAATCGATTTAAGTTTTCTAAACAAATTCCAATGTTAAAATGTGTTAAAGCTAAATCAGATTGATTCGATAAAGATGTTTCTTCTTGAATATCTAGTTTTTTTTTATGATAGTCAAGTGCTGTTTGATAATCATCATTTTCTTCATAAATCATTGCAAGAAGTTCATATGTATTTATTAATGATGGATGTGTTGATGATAAATGTTCTAATTGAATGTTCAATGCATATTGAAATTTTTCTAATGCTTCATCAAATTTTTCTTGTTTATAAAATATTTTTCCGATTTCATTATGTATATTTGATATTGTAATATAATCATTTAAAGTTTCATTTGATTTTGTTGCAAGTGAAAGTTTATAAAATAAAAGTGCTTGATTATAATTTTTTAAATTTGTATAAATTAATCCTAGTTGACTATAAACATACGTATATTTTGGATCAGATATATCTGGTATATTGATTTCGTAAAGATCTTTTGCCTTATCAAATTCATTCATTTGAATCAATAATTCACCTAATTTTTCATAATTAATTAGATGATTGAATTTGTTATGTTCAATTTCAATATAATGTGATATTAGATTTTCTTTTTCATTGATTAGTGTTAAATCTACTTGCAAAAAATTATTTTCAATTTGTTCAATGGATTCAATATGAAATATTGCTTTGAATGAAAATAGAATTTCATATTCAGATTGATTAGAACTTCGATTTTCTAATGAAGCATATGGACATGAATTATTTGTTGGATCAATTTTCATTCGAAATAAAACAGCAATTGGAAATCCATTTGATAAAGATCGTTGAGCAAATTCATGAGCAACATTTTTTTCAGTGCTAGCTGAGAAGAAACCATTAAATGAAATAAGACCACCTTGATTTTGTTTCAATTCTTCAAAATATTCGAGTTTCATTCTAGACAGTTAAAAAAGAAAACATTAACAAATATTCTTCAAAGAAACTTGCTCTACAATGACACAAAAGATAGAAAATGAGATGAAGATAGTTATCAAAAAAATCGTTAACGAAATAATAGTAAACAATTTTCACTAATCAAAATAACTGGATCAATAGATTATTGCTTTAGTTTAACCGTTCACTTTTCATACGAAAGTATTAGAGTGTTTTCACAGAAAATATTGACTTAACGTAATAAATGACACGAGCAAAAGTATTAAGTTTACAGTATCCGTTTACTGAGATAATTCTAGCTGGATTAAGGGTGTCTCATAAATTCTAAGCCTTAACGAAATAAACTTTATATGTAAACAAAGAATGATCCCTACCCAACTCTAAATCTATATGTGCTTCGAGTACTTCGTGCGTATTCGATGTTTTGCAATGAAAATGTTTCTATAGGTTAGCTTATTGTAGCGGCGAGAAATATCTCATTTTTAAATACTCAAGAATTCATCGAATGTCAGCACCTAGGACTTGCACAGTTTTATAAGTCTTTGATTGATGGTTTTAATGCACTTCTGAACATTGAAAATTCATTGTGATGACTGAGCACATTTCATTGGTTTCTAAAACACTAGATTGAAAACTCTCGATAGGTCTCTATCTTGTTTTTATCAAAAGCTATTTAAAAAATACATCATTTTTCTTTTTTTGAAATGACTAATAGTTCTAGTGTATGGATCATCACACATTTATTATGTTTAAATTAAGACATAAAAGCTAAGTATAAAACGTCAAAAACGATGCAGATTTCTCAAATTGTGCTGTTGCCTAATTGAAATAGAACAAGTTAAACGTTTACATAAAGCAAGATGAATAGAAAACTAAAGCATTAAACGGAGTTTTAGTGTCTAGACTTCTCATTTGATGATAAAAACAAATGTAAATGATTCTTTACCCTTGACCACGAAATAAAGTTAATGTTGATTTTTGCTTCGTTGTTGAATAATCTTCTTCTAACTGTTGATTAATATCACGAATAAAAAAGCTCATTTGAAAAAGAATTGTAATATCTTTCATTCGAATTGCTCTATTTAGCATATGATAAGCAAAACAATCTTTTGTATACCAATGTAATGCATCATTTGGTTCATATTCACTTTCGAATTGTTTTATTAATTCTAATTCTTCAGTATTTTCAGCATAAAGATTTTCACAATATTCAACTAAATCATGAATAGTATCTTTATCATATTCAATCTCAAGTAAATATTCTTTAAATAATTGATGTTGAATAAATTGTAATTGTTCTGAGTTTAATTGTTTCATATCAATTAATGACGTTGTTTGGAATGTATTTAAATCATTATCCCATTGTTTAAAATCAATTTTTAAATGTTCACATATTGTCGATATATCTGTATAAGCACCTTTTAATTTAGTATATTTATCAATTAAATATTCGTATTTGGAACTTTGTAGGCAAAATATATAAATAACCGCAAGTTGAGCATAAGGATCAACTTTCTCAAGAATATTTTCACTGAGACGACCAGAAACAATTAGAAAAATTTTTTCATTTTTTACTTCTTTAACCCATTGAATACATTTTTCTGGATCACTAAATGTTCGTATAGTACGTGCTATTTGACGCAATTGAACTTGCGACTTAATTGTAGCGTCATCAGTATTATCTACTGTTGCGTCAAGCCAAACAACAATTATATTCTCCATTGAATGGTATTGTCGTACAGGATTTTTGTCAGATTGAGTTGCTGATGATTCTAAATATAAATAAAACTATTCGTTTACGCCGTTTTATCGAATCCGATAAGTATTGATGGAGACAAAGAAAGAAAAGTTAATGTATTGAGATTTGCTCTATGGGGTGAAAGTTCTAACATAATATGAAATTTTTGAATTAATAAATGTCTTACAGAGTTGAAAAGAAAACGAATGTCATGGTGACAAAAAAACTGATTTTCGAATTTCGACTTAAAACTTTACATAGAGACAGATCTTTTGATTTGCTTCGATTTTGGTATAAAAATATAAAATCTACTGATATATAAGGCATATTATTACCATAGTTGTATATTAGAATATGAACAGTGACAAGATATAAAATACTCACAAAAATTATTCTCGTTAAGGCTTGTCTCTAGATAAACTTACAAGTCGAAATTCGCAAAATCAGTTTTTCTGTTACCACGGCATTTATCTAAAAGATACCGTAAAAGTGCACGAACTGTTTTCAGAGTATTCATATCTAATTTGGATCTACATAATGGCTGTTCAAAAGTGATTGAATATTGGAGAACTTTCCTCGTGAGAACAATCGGCGAAAGAATTATTTTTTAATCGGATTCTAAGTAATTACAAAATTTGGATCTTCTAATCTATAAATTATCAAACAAAAACTACATACGTTCTTCTTCAGTATGCCTCTTTTGTTTAGATGAAGAATTTGATTTGATATCATCATTACTTGAGGTAGTATCCGCCTCGAGCAAATTTTGATCATATGTATCAACTGGTTGTTGTTGTTGATCGGTGGAAGATATTGAAGAGTGATGAGACTCAGATTCATCTTTAACAGAATGATGACTAATTTCACTTATACTCGATGATGATGATGAAGATGATGTAGAGGAGTGGCGTTGTTTTTCTGGATAATCATTAGAACTCAACGGACGATCAACAATTTCATTTGTAGATGAACTCAACGATGAACGACGATCTATATCTTTTTCGAGCCATTCATCATTGTCTTTGGCAGAAGAAATCGATGTCGTCAAACTACTAGATGATGATCTCGACATCTGTTTCTCAGTATGGCTTTTTTCTATCAATGTTTCAGATGAAGACTTAGTAGCTTCTGTTCCAGAAGAGGAGATCGATGAAGAAATAGACTTTCTTGAACTTGTTGTTGACTTATCATCGCTATTTCTTCTTATCAATGATGGTTTTGGTGACTGATGAAGATCTTCATTTTTGAATGAATTAATCGATGAATCAGGAATGGACTTTTTAGAAGAACTCGATGACACTCGCGATGATTTTCTGCTTTCATCTTTTGTCCCTATGAGAAGAAAGACACCTCTAGTTTTTGCATACGGATATTTATCATTATCTTACTATCAATTGATTGTCGATCAGGTGTAATTAGTTTGGTGTCCTTCAAAATTCTCAAATCAAGTTTTCTACGATTGAGAAAATCAAAAAATAACTCACGAATATTAAATTCGAATTGTTGTTTATTGATTCATTTCGATGTAATTCCTCTGTTTTGTTTTCATTCTGTGTTGATACTGAACTTCGTATACTTGGACTCAGATTAGGCTAAACGTAATTTTCGAAAAACAAAAATTATCACTCAAGATTTTACAAACTTGAGCAACAGTAGAAACACGATTCAATCCTTTTTCTAATGGTTCTTCTTCTTCTAGAATGAATTAAATAACATTTGAAAGAATACTTGAATTTATGTTCAAATACTTTCTGAAGATGGACTTGGTGTTCGAAGTAAAGCTGCAGAATAAAATTCATTTGTTGATAGAACACTTGGTACAACTGATTTTCGATAAGAAGATGGATTAATAATATTTGATGATGTTGGTAATATTTCTTTTATGCGTTTTTCAAATCGACAACTTAAAAAAACAAAATATTTAAGTTAATACAAGAGAAGACTTTTAAATGCTCATACCTTCGACACGGTTGTGATTTTTGAACATTATATATACCAAATAAACCATATTTACTACCTAATCGAACATTATATTTATGTTTATATTCACAACAGACAGATATTCGACTATCAATAAGACCATTGATGTATAGAGCTACAGCAAATGGATATTCTGGATGACGACGAGATTCAAAATTGAATATTTCTAAATATTCATATTTAAGATAAAATAAAAGAATAAAAAACAAAATTAGATTTACCATTTGGTTTAACAAACCCTTTAAAAACAATAAGATTTTCACCACCACAATGTTGTTGCATTACCATGATTTCATCACCATTTGGGTGAAACCAATTGTTTTTATGATCAATAATTGCTTGTGGTCCGTAATAAATCATTGTTACCTCACAATAGTCATTATTTGATGTATACTAAAACAAAAATTCAATTTATTTTTTTTGACAATAATAATCATTTAAACTGTATGTATAACATCATATGCCTGTATAAGTCAGTTTTAAATAATTTTTCAATTGAAACATAAATGATGTTGACATTCTAGACAGAATAGATCCGTTTTTTTTCTGACTGAAGGCAAAAGTTTCTTGCAATATAATATTTGTTTCTCTCTCATTATCAAATCATCAATTCGACACTCAATCTCTATTAAAAATATAGAGAGTTTTCAAGACGACTTCGAATGCGCCACAACATTCTATAATCGATCGATTTTAACATTAGCATCGTCAGTCGTATAAGCCTTCTTTTCTAATAAATCATTTGTTCATTTAGCCATAAACTCATTGACGCTTGTTTATCTCCGTGATTATCAAGCTCTCTAGCAAACGCATCTAATTATAGTAGAAACTATTCATCCATGGTTTCCTGCTGTAAGTAATTTATTCGACAATAGCTCCATACAAGGCTAACGTCTGTTACATTATAAGTTATTTTTATCATTATCAAAAGAAAAAAAAAACTTGAACAAGATTAAAAACTAAGTCAATCAGCAGAAGTCTTTTAGAATATCATTTTTATTCTCGTAAAACTTTTGTTTACTATAACATCTAAGGAAAAAAAAACCTTGAATTTGTACCCAAACTTTTGCCTCTAAAAGTCAACCAACTAAATTAACAGTTTGAATTCTTATATAGATATTCAAATGTATATTACCTTGGCCGTAGTTGGACGACGAACTAATTGATTTTTTGCATTTATTGGTGGATGACCAGCTGATTTAGCTCGTACTGACGAACGTTTGCGATAAGTCTACCAAATGAAAAATTTCGAAAAATATTTTCAATGATTTTATTACTAACTGGGGATGGTGTACGAGCATTCCTACTTCCGGAACGTTTAGTAACATGAACTAAACCATTTAGCATAGATCGTTTTTGTGGATGTCTTGATTCCTATTAAATATCCGATCGAATGAAAATAAAATACTAAATATCCTAATAACGGACTCGAATTTTTTGTACTCGAGCACGTTTTATAGCAAAATCAAATTGATTACGAAGAAATGCTTGACGTTTTTGTTCGTCTTCTACGACACTTTAAAAAAAAGAAGAAAAAAACTGTAAAATCAATATGAAAAAAAACTCTTATTTACTAATTAACAATCATATGTGATAATTTTGCTTTTTCTTCTCTACGTTTCGTTCGTCGAGCAAGTACAACTTCATAAGATGGAGACGATAGAATATGACCACGACGATTGATCTATTCCACAACACAGGCATACATTAAAGAATGTCAAAATTCTTTTAAAATAAAAATATATACTAAGCCAGCTTTTATTAAATGTCGACGAATACGTTTATTATTAAAATATGCATTTAAATGTGGATCAGTTAAACTTTCATAATTCCTATAAAAAGATAACATTGTTGTTTTTTTTTTGTACATGAATTAATAGTTTTTCATATTTAAATTTACTGTGAATCCATCGTTTAGTGTATTTTTGAACAGTTGTTCTGTACGAAGAATATACTTGCACTCTTTCAATTTATATAGTAAAAAAAAAGTGAGACTTTTTTCTTTCTTTCTTGTCTACAATAATGCAATATTGTCAATAAAAATAATTCTCTTGTCAATGCACAATCTATCGAACTCCAAGCAAACAAAATAGAGAACATAGAAAAAAAAATTGCAAATATTTGAAAAACGAGCACCGATTGAATGAGAAAAAACTGATGTTCTGTTTTCTTTTTAAGAGTATATGCAAAAAGGACAAACATTTTAACACAAAAGATGATATAAAATCAATGAGATTTGATGGACCGATTTTGATTAAGATTTGAATCTGAGATGTTTAGTACGATGACAGCAGCTTTCTTTTTAAGGACATTACAGAGCTAAATGAATTCGCACGAAATTTCAGTATCCAAAAGTGTTATATGGTGAGACTTGTTGAATCGCATAGGTTAAAAACGGATTTGACTGACAGAATATACGAAAGACAAGATATGTTATAGATAAAAAAGTTGAAATTTTTTCATTTAGGGATATTATATTAGACTTTAAACATAAAATTATGTCTTTGTATGTTTTTGAACAATGTATCAAATGCTTTAATTACTTATAATAAATGAAGTCAATCAGATAATGTTCATAAACATATTTTCAATATGTCAAGATCAGAACGTTTTCGTATTCTACGTTGTTTTTACCTATTCTGTTTATAATTAATAAACCTAATCGTGCATCAAGTGTAGAGACTAGAATGATGGAGAAAAGAATTCGAAGAAAAAATCTATTGAGTATAGGTAATCATGACTACTAGTTAACGTCAATTTCTTTAGTTTTCATGAATAAGATTAAATCAAGATAATTTATTGTTGATATTTTTTGCAAATAAAATATTCAAACAAGTTAATTATGTAAAATACGTTGTCAAAAAAAAACAATTATTTCGATTATATAGGTCAAATTTCGTATTAAAATTTGATTCATTTGTTGTTGTCAACCGTCGTTATGTTTCGATTCATTAAAAAGGAAACAGCAAAAAGAGAAAGAACACTTTTTTTTTATTCCTGTCAAATAGAAATAAAATTTTCCTCTTATATCATTCTCTTTCAAAGAAGATTTTGTTGTCAGGTGCTCACACAAAAAAATCAACATTATGGATGAAATTATTAAACAATTAACACATGATAATAATCTTTTAGAACAACAATGGGCTGATATATTTACTTGTATTGGAGAAGCATCAGTACCTAATGATTCTAAATTAGTATTAAATGCACTTGTTGATTATTTACTTACAGAGCCAGTCGACTCATCACCATGTTATATGAAATATTTATTAATTTCTATTGTGATTGAACAATTAACTATTAAAGCAGTATCTATTGAAATTAATAATTTAATTGATGCTTTTACTCGTGTTCTCGATTCGTCAAGAGTTGATCAGTGGTATTTAAAGTTTCTTGAAACAATATATGAAAGCTTCGAAATTGGTGAACGACTATATTCAACACCAATTAAGACAGATTTAATTGAAAAAATTCTTCAAAGTTTACAAAATAAAACATTTATATTTAATTCCACTGAAGATTCTAATAAATGGGAAATATTTTTAACTCAAACCGTTTTTTCAAATTCAACAAATGACATAAATATTTTAAATAAGCAAGATATTATAGAAGATATGGAAGTAAATTTTCAACAATTTTACAAGTAAATTTAAAAAGTTTTATTTTTTCTCATTTGATAATATACTCGATAAAGTTCTCAGCAATCAAACTTTATCGTATTATCCTAAAAGTTATCGACAGTCTCTTCTTTTTAGAAACTTTAATTTCATGAATAATTTTCGTCTTCAATCATATCAAAGTAATTTATAATTATGGAGTCGAAACTACAGGAGGTTCAAAAAGTCACGATCACTTAAGAAATACTTATAACTTTATTACTGATCTAGGTAGTAAGTTTTTCTTTGTGAAGAGCAAGTTCAATACCAATAAAAAAAAAAACGTGACATTTTCGGTTACAACTCAAACATTAAGATTTTAAGTTCACAATAACGATAGAAATTCAAGTATAAATATTGAAGGAAAAGCGGTGTATATTGTTTTTTCTGCATCGAAAAATGTCTGGTTTGTAGATTTTATGCAAAAGTGTTACTATTTCTACACTACTAATGAACTTANAATAAGCAAGATATTATAGAAGATATGGAAGTAAATTTTCAACAATTTTACAAGTAAATTTAAAAAGTTTTATTTTTTCTCATTTGATAATATACTCGAGAAAGTTCTCAGCAATCAAACTTTATCGTATTATCCTAAAAGTTATCGACAGCCTCTTCTTTTTAGAAACTTTAATTTCATGAATAATTTTCGTCTTCAATCATATCAAAGTAATTTATAATTATGGAGTCGAAACTACACGAGGTTCAAAAAGTCACGATCACTTAATAAATACTTATAATTTCGTTACTGATCTAGGTAGTAAGTTTTTCTTTGTGAAGATCAAGTTCAATACCAATAAAAAAAAAAAACGTGACATTTTCGGTTACAACTCAAACATTAAGATTTTAAGTTCACAATAACGATAGAAATTCAAGTATAAATATTGAAGGAAAAGCGGTGTATATTGTTTTTTCTGCATCGAAAAATGTCTGGTTTGTAGATTTTATGCAAAAGTGTTACTATTTCTACACTACTAATGAACTTATTCTTTCCGAAGAAAAAATTACTAGCCTCCTATTTCAAACATATTTTTAAAAAAGATTTTTAAATTCGATCAGTAGCGAACTAATATGGATTTATTCAGTCCTTATGACTTTTGGAAGATCTTCTTCATGAGTAAAAATTTATCAAAGCAGAGTTCAGACGTATCAAGACTGAAGTGGAGAAAACTTTACTTTGACATTTTTAACCATCTCTTTCATCACTTTTTAAATTTCTGTTCGTCATGACACATTTTGTAACACAATGTATTTATTTAGGCACGCTGTTCAACAATCTCAACAATCATCAGTATGGTTAAAAATTGCAACAACATTAAATGAGTACTCATCTGAAATATTCAGCAATGAAATGTCATTGAACATGATTTTATCCGATACAAATGTATCAATTGAAAATATATCTTCTGATGGTATAACTCAATTAATTCAATCCTATGAAAATGATAATGAACTAATAAAAACCGACCATACAAAATTATTAACACTGTTTGAACGATTAATTTTAGTAAATAATTATGACAATGCTTATCAACTATTTTCTACCATAATTATTCCAAATTTATCTATAATTGATTTTGAATCTTTATTATCTACAATGACTCGACTTTGTCCAATAGTTGAAAATCGAGACTTATTTTGTTCAAAAATTCTCGAAACTCTTATTTCACCATTAGAAAATTTACAAATCAAGAAAAACTTAGCAGTAATCGTTTTTACTTTAGCTTTAGCTATTTTAAAACTATGTTTATGTGATGCACCAGAGTTATCGTATAGTTTAGTAAGAAGAAAAAATTTTTATCCATGGCCAGAATTAATAGACGGTTTAGCTGATTTAATAAAAGCTTGTATTTCGTATGATGTAATTATTGAAGACGATTTTTTTAGTAAATTAAATCGATTAGAGGATATTATTGATTTAATACAAGAAAAAACACAAGTTTATCCAACTATTTCTAAAGCCATTCATCCGATTAGTGTTGAAGCTGTTCTCCGATGGTCAAATACTCAATTTAATGGAAGTCATCATGTTTATCGAATGGGAAATGCTATATTAAATTTAATTGATTTACAAGAAATAAATGAAGATATATGCATGAAATTTATTGATGCTATACAAACTCGAGTTAATTGTGATAATGAAGAAATAAACAATAAGAGTATCTTCTTTTTTAGTGTAAGTTTAATTAAAACAACGAAAAATATTCTTTTTTTATGAAAGATGATCTGAAAGGAATTTTGAAGCATAAAGAGTAGAAACTTGAGGAATCCACGAGAAATAAAATTTATGCCCTTTTACTTTTATACTTTTCAAGATACTATGAATTTCACAATTTTCATCTTGTAGTTCTTTTATAGTCCTTTTGGGTGTGCGTGGGTAAGCCTATTTCTTTTATCCACATCCACACCCCAACATAATATTAAAACAGGATAAATTCAATTTCTAGTGGACGTATATGGAACCGACAGGCATCTTAGCAACGACTCCCTCTCCTCTTCATAGATCGAAATAGACGTGGTTGATATACTGTAAAAGACCATGTATCAATAACGTCTCGTTATAATATATGGATTACTTCCTTATTGCATTCGTGGAGAATTAAATAAAAGAATGATGAAGAAATGTATTCCAAAACAATAGATAGAATAAAATAATTTCCCTGTTATTAGCTATAGCAGCTGTATAGTGTTTCACATTTTAATCCACCAAGAATTGAGACAACAGCTTCTTTTTTCTTGTATTTTAATAGGTTTTTCTAATCTAGAATATGGCCAAGCATCTGGGTAATTTTATCGTGCAACTTAAACGACTTCCACATAATATCCATTCAAAATTAGCTACTCTCTTTTTGTCTCTACTTGATTATTCGTTCTATGATGAAGATCATAATATGACATTTCATCATGTTACTTTAGTGAGCGTATTATACAAAACAGCTTCAAGTATTTATAATGAAAATGATGCTCGTCTTTACGAACCATTCCTCGATCGAATGTATAATGATGCTAAAGATGATAATAAAACAATGTTGCATCAAATGTGGCTCCATTTTTGGCTTGTCGTTGGTATGCAAGTACAGACTGTAGCTGCTAATCATATTGAACAATTTCTTGATTATACATTTAATCGCAAAAATATGAGTCTCATCAGCTTATTATTGGTAGGCAGTTTTACGTTGCGCATCAGACTATATAAATTCTTATTAAGCTGTTTTTCATAATATTATACTTTATAGAATTCAAAAATGAAATATGTAAATGTAAACTTTATATTCAAAATTTGCCACATTCCCATCTCTCTTTATAGACAAGGGTGCAGTAAAAAGTATTGCCCTTTTCTTTGACTGGTAGAATGTTTAAATTAGATTATATTAAAGAAAAAAAAATGTTTATACTAAAGCATTTCTCAGTATAATTGAAATACGTAAGATTTACTCAAGTAATGTCAAAGAAAAATATTCTTATCTGTCTTAAACTTCATTTCGATATTTTTGTTTTCCAACAAAATTTGAATATATCATAGAAAAACTATTTTTATCGAAGCATATAAATTATCTTGTGCGTACAACATCAAGTTATCAGTACCTTAGTAAAGATGTTCATAGGCAAATACTTTTAGTCTCGAGAACTCATCAACTATACTTACGCTGGTATCTAAATATTATTTGAGTACGATACTCAAGTACTGACGTTGAAATAATGAGTTTCGAATGAGTACTCCTATATTCCTTTTTTTTTGTATTCTAATGGTGGATCTATATTTTTGTTAAATACTTTTCTATGCTATTCAGTTTATTTTAATATTAAATTAGTAATACGCCAACATCAAGGCACGTATTGAAAGTAAAGTCAAATATTTTCTTAATTTATATTGCACGTGAAATAATAGAAAAAAAAACAGATTTCTATGTTTCATTTAGTAGCCTTTATGGTTGAAAATCGCATGCACTTTATAATAAAGCTTATTAGTTATTTTTTGTTTCATTGCTTTTCATAGTCAGTCTTCAACATTGGATTTAATCTAAAAGAAGCTTGTATCCTAATTTAGATAATGAGACTAAATGAGTTTCTATTTATCTGTTTAAACTAATTAATACTTAAAGTCATTTCAGAAATAAAGGAGTTGAAAATGAAAAGCCGGATGTTTTTTTTTCTTTCATGAAGTCATCATGCATTAAAATAGGTACTCCCTAGAATAAAAAGTCGCAGTCTTTTTTTATAGAAATTCACGTCGTTTTTCCAAAAGTGAACTTCTATTTATGAATATTTTTTTTGCTAAAATTTATCTAGAAAACCAAGGATTTTTGAAAAACTCTTCTGACATTCAAATCGAAGTTTTTAGCAAATAAGCGTCCGAAAACGAGAAGTTTTGATAAGAAAAACACTTATGTAAGAAAAAAATACTTTCTTTAATTTTATAAAATTGTATTTTACTCAAAAAACAAGTTTTTAAGTGTTAAAATAAAAAAAAGCGCTGGATTTTAGAAGACGGTTCTTTAGAAAATTGACTGCCCTTTATTACGCCTTGAAAAAACAGAAGAAGAAAAAGTAGATAAGTCATTAAAAGAACACTTTTTCTATTTTTCATTTATTTGTATGATTTTTCTTTATTAAATTACTTTTGTAGATACTATACATAAGTATTTTACTCAATATCTTTTGAAATTACTAGCATTGATTTTACGTAAAATCTTCCTGCTTATATGTATGAGTAAATCTTGAAGAAAATGAATTAATATGGATACTTGCCATAGTATGCAAAGAGTATTAATACACATAAAAATATTTTAGTACTCTCGCGAGTAATTTAAGTACACCTGCTAGCAAAATTTATCGATCAGCTTAGTAAATTCACTAGGATAAAATTCGTTCTATTAACGCTACAGGCAAAAAAATTGAAAGATATTCGATAAAACAATAGAATTCATTATTTATGTTATACACCTACATCTGAGTTCGATTACCTTCAAAACACACTATCGGTAAGAAGTGGATGGATAATATTTAGCATTAATAACCATTGATCTTTCCTATTACGATTGTATAATCAAATCTTGCTGAGGAACGAAAAAGATGAAGAAGTATTCAGCAATCCCATTTTCAAGATAATTATTTCCTTTATAAAATAATACTGCTCCGAATATTAAATTAGAGCGTGGCAGATATACACCTAACCCGAACTTTCCGACATCAGTCCTGCTTGGGTTCAATCATGCTTGAACTTAGTTATTTTTGGTATTAGAAGTAGCTAAACATAGGTTTTCTATCTGCTGACGACTTTGGTGCATTATTAGAGTTCGATTACAATGAGACCGCGACTAGAAAAATCTGTAGTCATCTCTAATAACTACGAATCATATTTTATTCTTTGAAATCTTCACAATAATATTCTAGACACTGTGTGTTCAACATACTGAACTCTTTTATCCTTTTTTCGACGATCTTCTAAATATATTAATAAGTGATAATGGACAATATCTATCTAATTTATTTGGTTTATTTTCATTAATCGTCAGAAAATATCCAGAAATAGTTTCATCGAAACATATTAATCATATATTTTCATCAATAGATACAATTCCATTCAATAATGAACTTTGTGTAATTATTCAAACACTTAGTTGTGTAGCTAATTATCATCCTTATTTATTTGATATACATAGTGAAAAAATCATTTGTTTAATTATTGAAAAACAAAATTTACTAATATTTGAATGTTTTCGAAATTATATTATTTCATCAATAATTATCAATAACGAAAATAAAGCAAATGAATATCTTAATATTCTTATTGATATTTTGAAAAATAAAAAATGTTCAAATGAAATTCAACAAGAAATTTTCTTTTCTTGTTTACTTATCGGTTTGAAACATAAACAATTATTAATTAATCGACGTCATGATTTTACAGTATTAGGTTCGAATTTAATAGTCAATTATATTGATAATGCTACAATTAGTGAATTAGATCGGGTAACAATTAAACGAGCTCAACTAGAAATTGAAAAAATCGAATTATGTATTAATAAAACAAAGATAAATATCAAAACAGAACAAATAAATGTAAGTTTTGACAGTGTTTATGTTGTATAGTAATTACTTTTTTTTCATAGACGAAAAATATGCCTTCTTGGAGTCATCAAGTATCTAAATTACTTAATCATCAAAGTAATAATGATTGGCGTTTACTAGGTAAACAACTTGGATTTTCATGCAGTGAAATAAAACATTGGAGAAAGCAAACAAATCCTTGTATGACTTTACTTAACGAATGGTTTATAACACATACGACAGAAGAAGCTATTTTTAGTCTTATTAAAGTACTTAATGATATTGGTCGACAGGATGTTGAACAAATTATTCGACAAGATGTATTACAAACAGGACAAACTATTCCAAATGATTTGCCAGTTAATATAAAACGTCTGGCACCAGTTTTTCTTTCATTTCATTCTAGTGAACAAATACGTGTCACAAAACTGAAAGACCATTTAGAACAAGCCGGTTATGCTTGTCAAATGTATGACGATCAAACTCAAATTAATATTCTAGATACTCATATTCGTGGAGCTAAAGTGATCATATGTTGTATTAACATACTTTATGATCAATCAGAAAACTGTTCAAAAGTATTTCATTTGATATTAAACATGAAAAAACCTTTCATCCTTTTATATATGGAAGAACAACCATGGTCATCTGAAAGCAAATTTAAATCTATTCCTGATGATTATATGTACATTGAATTTTATAATGATAAAATGACGAGTGATTGGCCTGAAAATAAATTTATTGAATTACTCGGTCAAATTCGTTATCATGTTGCACCTGATCCTGATATGATTCATGAACAATATCATCATTGGTTCGTACCTCGTATTGATAATCTTATCTTTTTGAAATCATCAAATGAACAGAAAGAAAACAATTCCATATCATTTAATGATATTCCATTGCTAGTTTCGCATCCACAAATAATTATCTCCTATCAATGGGATTGTCAAAAAGATATACTTCATCTTTATAAGCAATTGACACAATTAGGATACCAAATTTGGCTTAATATATTTCAAATGGGAGATGGTGATTCTTTGTTATACAAGTATAATATTGCAATTCAACAATCATTATGTTTACTTGTTTGTATTACACCAAAATATATGAAATCGATTAATTGTCAACGTGAAATATCATTAGCTAATACTTTTCATAAACCTATAATACCTTTATTACTCGAAGAAACGACTACATGGCCACCTTTCGATCTCGTATTATCAATATTTGCTAAAACACCATATATTGACTTTCGACATTCAAATGGATATGATAGATGGATAGGAAAACAGTTTGTACTATTACTTGCTCAACTTGAACAAATTATACCAAATGTGCCGACGAATAAGCCACGACATCTACTCGAGATGCAAAGACCTATATCTGCTTCTCGACATAATGATACTATTGATCAACGACCAAAACGAATATCAAGTGCACCCATTATTCCAAAAAGTCGAACGTGTTCTCTCATGTAGTGATTAATTGATTGGAAAAAAAAAAAATAAAAAAAAAAGTTGTATAGTTCTAATAAAAATCAACAGTCAGAATTTGAAAGTCTGGTGATCATATACGAAGTGAAAACGTTCGAGATAGTTCGTCGTTTAGATTTGAACACACTTTTGTGTCTGTTTTAGCTTACACTTGATTTGTAATTAGACGAACAAGATTCATTATATTTATGACTGTTGTCATACAATTCATATTTAAATATGATTTTGGCTGAAAAAAAAAACAGAACATTTTCTAAAAGTGAGGGTGTACACCCTCTCCGATGGTCATCTCTCGGCATAGAATAACCGCAAGGCCCTCTTGCAGCTATGCTTTCTTTAGATTCTTGAATGATTTGACTGTACATGTGCTTTTATTTAATTAGATGTCACCGAAAAAAAGAAACGCATGATTGATCAAGTAGTTTGCATTAATCATCATTGACGTAGGCATTTTTCACGATCGTCTTTTATATGCTTAATGAATCTTATTAAAAAAAGATCAAATGAGTGATAGACAACCTCTGTTAAACACATTCAATAAATTATCTATTGTTGATAATGATGATGACCATGAGAACAACCACCAAGTTCTTACCAATAGGTATGATCCAGTAAATAACGAAGATCAAGAAAAATAAAATTAATTTATCATTGTTTGTAGTCTTTTTGATTGGCGTCGATGTTTCAGCAGAAAAAAGAACGACAACAAATATATAAAATTAGATGATGATACTGAACGTTGTGACAATGGTGAAGCAGTTGGTATTTTCCAATTAGTAAGTGTATTCAAATGGAATGCAAATTGATTGATATATTCATTTTTATTCTAGTTTCGGTTTGCACATGGTATCGATTTTGTTCTGATGTTCATTGCTACGTGTTTGATTGTGTTACAAACGGTTTGCGTTCTGGCTATACTAGTACTCTTCGGTCGACTCGCAGGAACATTTGCTATTGAATCATTTGGTGACACATGTTATCAACAAACGCAAAATTCAAAAGCTTCAATTAAAAAAAATAATACATATTCTCAAGTCATCAACCTCAATATATTCAACGATGCTCCGTCGCGCAAGTAATTTACTAAAAACTATAATCAGGTCATATGTATTTTTTTTTATCAGTTTGCTACTTTCGTGACACACGATCTAAACTGAGTATTGAAGTATGTAAGGTAAAAATTTGAACCCCTTCCCACAGATCGTGACAGACTGTGAGAAACGCTACCAAAAAGGTATGACAGATCTTAACAGACTTATATATACCATCACGGATCGTACATCAATTATGTCTCGTTCTAATATGTGAGCAACTTGCTTGTTGCATTTCTGGACGATTAAGTAAAAGAATGGTAAAGAGATATGTTCCAAAATACATAGAATAAAGCTTGTTAGCGCAGCCCCTTTGGGGCTGAAATGTGGAACTCACATATGTTCTTCAGCTTCGTTATATTGATACGAAAGACAGAAGGTACAAAACAAAGAAATTTTTATNTCAAATCAAAGGTCTTCGCATCATCACTTATGATGAATTAGTTCGAATAGGTCAAGCATACCCGACAGAGCCGGAACCACCTAAACCGTCTGATACAGCCGTGATCATGTACACTAGTGGAAGTACAGGTGATCCAAAAGGTAATTCATATACTTACTTTGCTTGCCATGAAAACAAAACACGAAGTTCTATGATTGCATTACTTTGAAGTTTAGGTCACATTCTTGTTTTTTTTGGAAATTTTCCGAATTAGGTAGAGTCGTTTGTCTCATCTATTAGAGTCTTGGTAATAACTGAAATTTTCAATAAGTGATTCCATCAGATAAATGCATTCGAAAACTAAAGTAAAATCTGTTATTTTCTTCGCATAGAACGCGATTCTTAGAGATATATCGCATCCTGTACAAATCTTGACTTCTGATCCAATATTAGAGTCAACCATCAGTCTCCTTTTCTGTCGTTTCCGTCCTATTGACCACAATGGAACAGATGCATTATGTTATGGACTACATTTTTTGTAAATGCGGTCGTGAGAGATTTTTCCTTTCCTTTTGCTCTTCTTCGTTGTATGTTGTTCAGTAGATTTTCTTTGCACATTTATCATCATAGGAATTTCTATCTCATAGATTTCCTCGTTTTCTTCGCATTTTACATATAGTTATTCAGTGGGTGTAAAAAGAGAAATGTACAGAAATCAACAACAAGTAGGATTCTCATCTAAGGTATTGCCATAAATTTAGGCAAGATATTTGTATTCGATGACGTCGCATCGTCGACTGCTGCTGGTTCATAATTGTGGTTTCTGTCAGAGGTTGTTTCATAAGAGATTTATGTTGACATGAAGGAAAAAAAGGAATTCGTTTGGTGCAATATAATAATAAGCATCGCTGAAGACAGGTTTAGTTGAGATCGTAGTTTAGTTTTCGCTAGTTGATCTTTGTATATGTTGTGAAAATTTTTCTGTTGTCTATCTAAATTGTTGTACTTAATTGTCGAGGAATCGATTGGAAGAAACTCAGTCTTCATATTGTTGATTGATTTCGCGATCATATTTGTTTGACGATTATTTGAGTTAAATACATTAGTCGACTGAAAATATTGAGTTTATATCTGTATGTAGAATTCTGAAGCACTACTGTTATCGCTATGACCTCTTTCTGTTTGTATTAGTATTGGAATTGATGAGTCTGTTGGATTAATCATCAATTCGACGGAAACTTAGGTGAAGCTTTGCAATAGACTATGAATACTTGCTGTTCTTGTCGCATTCCATTATTCGTAGTAAATGAAACATTATGCATCAATACGTGGATAGGAATCTTCATCGGAGTTATATACTTGTTTCTGTTGGTCTACAAACGTGCAAAACTGTCTCTTTGTGACGAACATTCTCAAAAACATAGTAGAGTTTTAAAGTTAGAATCTTGTGAAAAACAGAGAACATCAGAACAACCAAAAAAGCTAGAACAGCTAATGCATCTAACCGCTGCGAAAGAACAGCAATTGAGTAGTGTTGATTTTCTGTAGTTGATGTTTATTGTTGAAATGGTTGTTAAACATAACTCAAGTAGGTAGGCACCAGTTTCAGGTAACTGGTTATCATTCAGAGTCAGTACCAGTCCGACTGAATATCCAGTTGAACTAAGCTTGGAGCATACTCAACATAAGTGATAATTAGTTTTTATAGAGCAAAGATCAATAGAGATTAGTACACATATTGAATATTCGTACACCCGATCAGTTAGAACTCGAACCGTTTCATACCTAAATCCGAGTAGAAAATATACAATTTTTTCAAAATGAACACATTGTCAGGAAGCTTTGGGTATTTATTCTTATTCCTCATAGGCATCGAAGATCTCCTTGTGATTTCACATTTGTAGAGACCTTTCGAGAGATCAATTTATTAATCCCTTATGAATACAACTGAGATTCGCCGTCTTTCAGGGGACTTGACGGCGATTGTGCAAATGAAAGTTGATTAGAAATATTATTTTCGTGGAATGAAACAAAACTAAATAAGAGATATTGAAGCAATGCTCGAAACTACTTTATATCGGCTCTTCTTCTCATCTTTGGGCGGTTTTAAATTCGATTTCTTGGTTTTTTTTTGAATAACCATTCAATATAACTTATTAAACCATATTCGGCGATAAACATCGTTTACAATCAAACACTTCTTATAACTTATGTTCATATCTATTAAGGATGTGTCATCACACACGAAAATTTTGTATGTTCGGTGTTGGGTATCATCACTACACTTCGTTTGGATGAAGTAGCTCGTAGAGAAACGCTTCGTGTTCTCACCTATATGCCAATGGCACACATGTTTGGATGTGGAACAACGATCATCTTTGCTTATCTTGGTGAGTAAAACACGTTTTTTGTTACTTATTTATTATACATAATCGTTTTTTATTGTTGATTGTATGCAGGCGGTGAAGTTGGTTTTTGGCAAGGTACAACTGAAAAATTGATGGATGATTTTCGCGATTTTAAGCCAACACTACTTACAATGGTACCACGTTTACTAAATAAACTCTACGACAAGATAATGATTGAAACCGAGAAGAAAGGTCTAATAGCACAGATTATTATGAAATGGGCGATAAAATCTAAAGTTAATCGAATGGAACGCGATGACTTTTCTCAAAATACTCTATGGGATAGACTTGTATTTAGTAAAATTCGTTATGCATTTGGCAACCGAGTTCAAGTTGTTATATCATCGAGTGCACCTCTTTCGGCTGAAATAGCCAATTTTAGTCGATCAGTATTTTCATGCCAATTCGCTGAAGGATATGGTCAAACGGAATGTATAGCTGGGTGTTGGCAAGTTCCGGGCGATATCCGTTCGGGTGAAACAGGTATTCCAACACCAGTTAATCATATCAAATTGATCGATGTGCCAGAAAAAGATTACTATGCAAAGAATCATGTCGGTGAGATATGCATTCGTAGTCAAGCCGTATTCAGAGGCTATTTGAATGATGAAATGAAAACAAAGGAAACTATCGATAATGAAGGTTGGCTACATACAGGTGATATAGGTCAATGGACAAATAATGGAACAATGAAAATAATTGATCGAAAAAATTCTGTAATTAAAGTGAGTCATTTCCTTTGTCAAGTACGGTGCATAAACACCTTTGTACCAAATTGGTGCAACTATCAAATGAACACTAAGATTTTAAAAAGTGAAATTTTGACAACAGATTTCATTCATTTTAGTTCCATGCCCGATAACATTTTCAATTCATTGGTTTCCGATGTCGAATTTTGACATACTCAGTAGGAGATGGTAGTGTACAAGTAGAAGATGGAAATTAATTCGCATTTGGTATAATATATCTTGTGATAAGCTAAAGTGAAAAGCGATAGAGAAATCATGTCGATATGGGACATTTACAGTAATCTTTTTATTATAGTTTAGTATATATACATTATATATGTCTTTTTTGATAACATATTTCTCTGAGTAAAGACATTGAAATTAATGTCATGGTGCATAAACCATGACCTCTACATTTGTTAAGCGAGACATTGCTTTAATAATAATTTATTGCGAATATAAGTTTTTCTGTGGCAAGACACATTTCCATGAGTGACTCTATGCTTTTCTTGTTGATAAAAATCCAATTTATAAAATTTCTTTAATTAAAAATAAATTACACAAGTATTTCCCGAGGCTCAGTGCTATCAAAGTGAATGTAGTGAAACATAGCTTTTCAGAACAACATAATAATATAGAGAGGGATAGTATTTAGAGTTCATCATGCCCTACTCATCGTCAAATTGTTACTTTTTGCAGAAATCACTTTTAAAACAAGTTTCCAAGCGCTCTCAACAATTTCAAATGCGGTCTCAAGAGTAGCCATATCGTGATAAATCATTTAAAATGCATAATTATGATCAAATTTAGTAAGTGATACTACAAACTGAGTGATAAATGTGTGAAATACAATTGGAAATGAGTGCTGAAGTATATAGTTAGAAAAGTAAATCGTTTTTTCTACATCCCCACAGACACGATAAGCATAATTCCATAATGTCAAAGAGCTTGATAGATATCTTCACATTCGGTTCCTAAGAGTTTGTCAGGGATCGTAATCAATATACAAAGGATCTTCATGCACAAATGAAGCAGTTCTATTGTGTTTTTCATTTTAATTCCAAAGCGATTTCGCTAAAGTCTTTCTATATAAATATTAGTCATTCAATTGATTCCTTCAATATTTGTCTCATTCATATATTGGATAATGGATGTGAAGTAAAAACGGATTCAACATTTTTCATCTTCAAAACGTTTTCTCTTGTTCGTTTTGTCTATCTCAAGTTTATTTTTATTATTTTCTTTTTAGTTAAGCAATGGTAACTATGTAGCACTCGAAAAGATAGAGAACATCTATATTCGTAGCCGATTTATCTCACAAATTTATGTCCACGGGGATTCAATGCAAAATTATATTGTCGCCATTGTTGTTCTCGATGACGACAGTATTAAAAAAGGGTCGAATGAAACGCATCATAGTTATCCAGTATCTATTTCATTTGAGACAAAATCAAAATTTTGGCAGGCTGTATTCAACGATATGATACAAGTGGGTCGAACGCAACACTTGATGCCACATGAGCAGATCAAAACAATGGCTATTATCAATGAACCATTTACCATGGAGAACGATCTCTTAACGCCAACATTTAAAATACGAAGAAAAGCTGTCGAGAAAAAATACCAAAAACTTCTGCAAGACCTGTATAAATACATAAACGCTTGAAGATCTTGTACATTTGGCTTCATATCATACAGGGAAATCTATTTTACGCACTAGTTAGCATGTATAACTTGTGACTATTTTCGAATATATTTTTTTCTATTTCTTTGAAATAAAGACAGTAAATCTACATTAATATTATTTTCAGACACTTATCAGCACATCGCACTATTTAGTTCTGCAAGCGAACATTGATCGTAAGTGTATTTATACGGCAAATGCGTTTTCATTGCTGACAGAGAATCTACTCTTCTATATAAGTGCTGAGTTCAGAAGACGATACGTATGACAGAAGCAACATATATCTAAAGTTTAGTATAAAATTCCATTTGATAGATTCCTATTCCGATACTAAACGAAGTACGAGTGATTTGAAGTGTCTAAATTTTAAAAGAACCAAGAAAAAATAAAATTTTGCCGGATATCAAATTCTCATATAAAATAATATCTTCACATTGTAAGCAGTGTANTCTGCATTTTTTAAGCGAGACATTGCTTTGATAATAATTTATTGCGAATATAAGTTTTTCTGTGGCAAGACACATTTTTATGAGTGACTCTATGCTTTTCTTGTTGATAAAAATCCAATTTATTAAAGTTCTTTAATTAAAAATAAATTACACAAGTATTTCCCGAGGCTCAGTGCTAACAAAATGAATGTAGTGGAAAATAGCTTTTCAGAACAACATAATAATATAGAGAGGGATAGTATTTAGAGTTCATCATGCCCTACTCATCGTCAAATTGCTAATTTTTGCAGAAATCACTTTTAAAACAAGTTTTCAAGCACTCTCAACAATTTCAAATGCGGTCTTAAGAGTAGCCATATCGTGATAAATGATTTAAAATGCATAATTATGATCAAATTTAGTAAATGATACTACAAACTGAGTGATAATTATGTGAAATAAAATTGGGAATGAGTGCTGAAGTATATAGCTAGAAAAGGGAATCGTTCTTTCTGCATCCCAACAAACACGATGAGCATAATTCCCTAATGTCAAAGAGTTTGATAGATATTTCCACATTCGGTTCCTTAGAGCTTGTCAAGGATCGTAATCAATATACAAAGGATCTTCATGCACAAATGAAACAGTTCTATTGTGTTTTTCATTTCAATCCCAAAGCGATTTCGCTGAAGTCTTTCTATATAAATATTAGTCATTCAATTGATTCCTTCAATATTTGTCCCATTCATATATTGGATAATGGATGTGAAGTAAAAACGGATTCAACATTTTTCATCTTCTAAACGTTTTCTCTTGTTTGTTTTGTCTATCTCAAGTTTATTTTTATTATTGTCTTTTTAGTTAAGCAATGGTAAATATGCAGCACTCGAAAAGATAGAGAACATCTATATTCGTAGCCGATTTATCTCACAAATTTATGTTCACGGGGATTCAATGCAAAATTATATTGTCGCCATTGTTGTTCTCGATGAAGACAGTATTAAAAAATGGTCGAATGAAACGCGCCATAGTTATCCAGTATCTATTTCATTTGAGGCAAAATCAAAATTTTGGCAGGCTGTATTCCACGATATGATACAAGTGGGTCGAACGCAACACTTGATGCCACATGAGCAGATTAAAACAATGGCTATTATCAATGAACCATTTACCATGGAGAACGATCTTTTAACGCCAACATTTAAAATACGAAGAAAAGCTGTAGAGAAAAAATACCAAAAACTTCTGCAAGATCTGTATAAACACATAAACGCTTGAAGATCTCGTACATTTGGCTTCGTATCATACAGGGAAATCTATTTTACACACTAGTTAGCATGTATAACTCGTGACTAATTTCGAATATATTTTGTTCTATTTCTTTGAAATAAAGACAGTAAATCTACATTAATATTATTTTCTGACACTTATCAGCACATCGCACTATTTAGTTCTGCAAGTGAACATTGATCGTAAGTGTATATATACGGCAAATGCGTTTTCATTGCTGACAGAGAATCTACTCTTCTATATAAGTGCTGAGTTCAGAAGACGACACGTGTGACAGAAGCAACATATATCTAAAGTTTAGTATAAAATTCCATTTGATCGATTAATATTCCGATACTAAACGACGTACGAGTAATTTGAAGTATCTACATTTTAAAAGAACCAAGAAAAAATAAAATTTTATCGGATATCAAATTCTCATATAAAATAATATCTTCACATTGTAAACAGCGTAGGAACCAGTGAAAATCGTTCAGTATAACAGGATGTTCATGGAGAGCATTTTGACTGTACATATTTATATTGATCAGAAATATTGACTCATTGTTTAGTCGATCATAGCAGGAAGCATCATGTCGACTTGACAAAACGTTACGGAATGCAATTTTTTTCTATCATAGCACGTATATCCTTTATATGATAAATGCGTACATTTTGAAATTTTTATTATAGATTAAGATCATTTAGACAATCGAGCAAAACTCTATAATACTGTCCGTTACGGAATTCCATCCTTTCCGCAAAAAATCAGTTTGGACCTGATTTAAATTGAAAAAATCAAAAACGACCAGATATTCATTATCAGCGTCAAATCCTGCATTAAATGACCTATTTTTTACTAGAGATTAAAGAAAAAGTTTTTTTTTAACTTTTTCGACCGAAGAAATTCTCGACAAAAATCAAAGTCGAAGTTTAGATTATCTGAATATTCGATTGCTTTCAGAATTCGATGATAACTCCAAATTTTTCCAAGTATATGATTATTTATGAACTAGAGCAGTATGAAACATGTAATAATTTAAAAATATCGCAGCTTTCAGATACTAGTGGAATTCTGTAATACAGTATTTCTATAAAACGAATGAGAACATTAAAACCAAACTATACTCAAAATGGGTGTGTTTGATAGAACCTGTTGATCTCTATTTGAAGATGTCGTTTTTGTTAAGAAAATTAGCAACATTATCGAGAGAAATACACTATAAGCGAGTTTCGTTATGGAATTTCCTCAAAAATACGGAGTGTTTTTGAACACATTATCTTGGTTCGTAGACATTTAATATTTTCTATGAAGTTTTATGCTGTAATAGCACTTCAATATTCTATTGATTAATATCTAATTGAATATTTTTTTCTACCGATTTCTATTTATTTAAAGATGTTTTTCACTCACATATTTTATACAAACTTTCAATCTGACCACTCTAAGAAAGATATTGCGCGTCCGAAGCGTTCAAGACTACTCAAAAATAGAAATGCTTTCATTTGCCGCGCTATCAATTGTAGTCTGTCCAATGGCAGGCTCAGTGTTTTTTGCTCTCGGGCTTCGAACACTCCTTATGTGTAGATGACTGATGCCTGGTCATGCCTTTTTGTTTTATATGAGTGAGTAGGCATAATATTCTTACTTTTTTAAATATGTTCTAATACGGAAAGTCTTTTTCATTCATTTAACTAATATGTGCTCTTCCTATCACTTTAGTTCAACACAAATAAGCAAATATCTCTATTCTTCTTATTTAAATAATAATTACTATAAACATTGAGGTGCGTTCATCTCTAAAATAGGATATTATTTTTTGTGTTTATATATAGTTTAATCAGATAAAGTCCCCCTTATTTTCTTATCTATTCTAATAGAAATGTGTGTTTTCTTATTCGGCTAGAGATAGTTGTCCATTGTCTCGTCATTTCTCAAGCGAGAGAGTGTGGGATGAATGAACAGACGTTTAGATCTACGCGCACTCAGACCTCACATTCACATTACGTTACACCTCCACACCCCAACATCTACCCTATGCTGATGCAAAATTTAACACTGATGGTGAGTATCTAGTTGCTTTTGTGTACTTCGGATTTTATGCTTCCTTGAAATGTAACTTATCTAAAAACGATGAAACGTCGTCACGGATAGTATTGTGAGGTTTTTCTAATGATTAATGAACATAAATAAGACATAAATTAGAGATTCTAACAGCATCTTGAAAATTACATATCTTTCACAGAACATTTTTTTGACATGGTACCTCAGGCCGTAGGAAAATGGAAAATTTTATAGCAGTCTCGAAAAGTTCGATTTTTTGAAATTACGTAACGGTCCGTGTTTTTTAAATAACTCTAGTAAGGCTAGGCTGAAGCAATTAAATATTTTAGTAGTAGTAGAATTCGGCAGTCCTTGTTTGCAGTGAAACATTTAAGTATGTCATCATTTGCCATTATACAGATATCACTTGAAAAAGACAAAAAGAATGAAGTTCCATAACGATTAGTTACGCTGTTCTTTCAAGTATGAAAAAAGGTTTGTAGTTTGATGAATGATCGAGCAAATAAAAATCAAAGGTGTAAAATTGTAGATGTTTAGCTACATATTGCAAATATGCATGTTTTGTTGAGCATTCGACTCTTTTTTTTTTACTTTTATTATTTTAGTAAGTACAAGAAGCGTTGAGATATATGATTGAACGACACACAATAGAATTGAAAAATTCAAATATAACTAAGCGTGAGAGAAAGTAAAGATTTCAGTCTTGAATTTTCATGAAATTTAGAAGCCTCGTGAAGTCTTTAGACGTTTTTTGAAAATTTGAAGCCTCTGTCTTTGAAGTCTGCTGTTTTTCTCTCGCAACTAAAACATACATATAGACTATAGTACTAGTGACATTTAATTATGGAAACGGCTATTTTTAGTCATTATTCATTTGAATTTCTTGCATCGCTGTATGTTGGCAGATCGAGTTTAAGATATCACAGCAATGTTCTGTAATGATTCTTTAGTCAAAATTTGAGCTGGTTCCAGTCGTAAACGATGGCCTTTATTTGATGAATTATTTTGAACTGATGATATGATTGGATTGATTCGTCTGTTTTGCCCTTGTGAACAAAATGCCAGTGCCGAACGCATAATGGTCCATAATTCTGATCGAAATGTAGGCGATGACAATGTGTACAAATAAAAGGCGAATACAGGAAAAACATACATCATTAATTCAGCAAGAAAAGCAATTATTCGATCTACAGCAAGAGAATTGATACTTCTGTTGGGAATAGTGCTTACTATGGCACTATATGTTACATTTCCCATTTGAGGTGTCATAAGTATAACATAGCAAACAATTTGTACGTATAATATAGCTGCTACTTGATTATCCATTGATTCCTTCCGTTTTTGTTGATCGACAAGGAACTGGATGGTAACTTTTTGAGTTCTTTTCTGCTTTCTAATGTATAGGTTATGACGTATTAGAATAGCTGTTATTATCATTATTGCAGTTGGGAGTATACCGCCACCGAGAAGAATGTATATGGAATGATAGAGTGCAGCTGCTGAGTTGCTGATGATAGCGCACAAACTTCCCTTAATTTCATAGAATATAAGTCTATGAGAAGCCAAAATGATCCAAAAGAGAATAATTCCAATGATGCAATAATAGGCTATTCGTACTTGTGCAAATGCCCTTATACGTGGACTACTCGAACTCGTCGCATATCGATCGATGCAAGCAAACGAGATAAACCATCTCGATATCATTAAAGATATTTGAAGAAAATAGCCACGAACTTTGCAAAATAAGACCGAGGTTGTCAATGGATCTGGATGGTTAAGACTGTACATTACTGGCACAACGCCTATACCCAAGCTTACCAGATTGTTAAGAGATGTTGCAAAAAAATCTATAGAAAAGAAACAAGCCTCCATTTTTATGAATCAAATCTGTATAGACCGAAAAACAGACTATTTTATTCTGTTATTTTTAACAAATTTGTTTTACTAAAACATCAACACTGTTTCTGACAAGATATTGATAATATTTGTCTTAAAAGTTTTATCCTAACATATCTTTGGCGCTATAGTATTTCGCCTAGACAAAGTTTTTGGATTATTCGAGAACGTGCACGATCAAAATCGTTCATCAAAGAAATGAGATGGCATTCTTCGAATGGTTGAGAAATGATGTACTACTTAAGTACATATTCAGACAATTAACATAATCACTTCACAGCCTGCTCATGCCAGTCATGATTAGAACTAGCCT